TCAGTCAATTTCTTTCTGGCTTGAACAGCATTTTTACCCTTTCTGTAGTAAAACAGTAAGATATGTCGAAAATGCTGCTTATCGCTCTCCATATTTAAAAGGGCACCAACCAAAAACTACTGCGTAGAATTAATTGGAACTTTTCACACACAAGCCTTGCTATATGGGCTCTCAAAGCATATAAAAATTAACGGTTTAAATGTGAAGTTGGGTGCAAAAGAATACAATTAAGTCCTCTGTCGGGAAAAAACGAAATGACTTTCCGAACAACCCTATATTTATTAATAAGACTGCTTTCTGTTATAACTTACCAACTGTCCCATACGTAAAACGCACTCGAGATAACACTAGAACAATGATTGGAATTAAGAAAATACTTTTATAAAAGTTTTATTTTAAAATACGCACAATATAGTAGATACCTAATAACTGAAAAGATGAAACATAATCTTAATTAACATTTCGATTACGATTTCAAGACATTAGTATTTTTTTTAATACATTTCAAATTAGTTGTTTTAATTTTAAGATGATATTGTTTTAATTCTTAATGCAAGCGGTTATGAATCCTAACTAATATTATAAATGCTAATGTGAATTTGTTTATTTATTAGCATTTCACACCTTAACTATTCAACCGATCATCATAAAATTGTGTACACATATTGTCAAGAATACAGGAAAGGACATAGGATACCTTTAATAAAAAAAAAAAAGAAAACTGTTCCCGAGGACTAGAAAAATTTCTTTTCATCTCGATAAAGAAGGATAGTATTTACTGTCATTCTACGTAAAACGTATGTTTAACCTGGAATATTAACGACTTTAAGTTTTATCCTGATGATCCTGATAAGGACTATTTAACAAATTATTGTATTTTCGTTTTTGATGATCTTTGACACGTATTTAGGACATCAATGTTAGCGAAACCGCGGGTAAAAGCCTATATTTATATCCAGGGTGACTGGAAATTGCTTCTATTCCTCTTGGGAAAAGAAGCTATCACTAATTAGGAATGATTTAACCTCTTGGGGATCGAAAATGCGCTATTTTCGAGAAAATCTACTTCGGTTTTCAAAATGTAACACATTTTAACACACAACATAATATCTACATGACAGTAAATTTTGTGGCTTTTAGCTTTAGGAGGGTTGGCCAGTTAGTAAAAATTGAGGACAAATTTTTTTTTTAAATTTTGAACTCCCAAAATTCGAATTTTTGTAACAATAAAACCGAAGTAGATTTTCAGTATTTCCGATCCCCACTTGATAGATGTTAAATCATTCCAAATTAGTAATAGTTTTCTTTCCCGAGAGAAATACGAGCAATTTCGAGTCACCCTGAATATTTTAATTTGGGAGCTGTTTGTTTTAAATAAACCCACATAGTACATAATTCAATCTGTCTGCCACTTTAAGAATATCAAACATTCCTCAACACCCTGTATTAAATGCAAAAAATTCTTTATCTATGTGTATATGTTACAGACTGTATTTATACGAGTTTTGGGTTACAAATACGAGGTTTGATCTAAAAGTAGAGCAGATTTTGTAGGTACATATTAAAATTGAACAAATCAGTGTTACCACAAACCGGATATGCATAAACGTATAAGTTCTAAGAAGTAGTCAGTAAAGGTAATTCAGAATCTCATGGACCATAATCATGGGTTGCATAGTCACAAAACTCCGCCCTCCATGGGCACAATATGGAACTCTCTAAGGTGGGAGGAATGTAGATGACCTTGTAGAGTAGAATAGGTAGAGGTATAGGCATGAAAGCGCAAAAGACATGGAGGTGAAAAATTGATTATTGAAAAGAAGAACTAACCCTATATTAGATTAGTTAGTCAATAATTATAATGACCATTTTCATATTCCACTATCACCCCTGCGCCTTCACGTCTCTTAGTAGGTATATATTTCTTACACATATGAAGCACCTTATGAAGGATTTTTTTTATAACTTACCATCACTTTTTCATTCTCAGCAAAATCGCCATTGTGTATATTTTCTATCAGTTCTAATAAATAAAATAATATCAATTTTAGACAAGCACATAATTTATTGATTAAGTTTAAATATTTTACTCACTGTCGGATATTTTAAGTTTAGGTTGACAAACATTTCTAATTAGTTTTGCAGCATTCTGAAGTTGAGCTTCGTTCATTGGCTGAAAATATCGTCGTATAATTACAAATTAGAATTCACCCTCACCAAGATTTATAATCAGCAAATTACTCTTGACTAATGTTTTGTCATTATTTAGTCACCATGAGATATATTTATCTAAAATTTTCAATCTAAATAGTTTATAATATAGATGCATTAAATATAATTTANAGTTCTAAGAAGTAGTCAGTAAAGGTAATTCAGAATCTCATGGACCATAATCATGGGTTGCATAGTCACAAAACTCCGCCCTCCATGGGCACAATATGGAACTCTCTAAGGTGGGAGGAATGTAGATGACCTTGTAGAGTAGAATAGGTAGAGGTATAGGCATGAAAGCGCAAAAGACATGGAGGTGAAAAATTGATTATTGAAAAGAAGAACTAACCCTATATTAGATTAGTTAGTCAATAATTATAATCGCCATTTTCATATTCCACCATCACCCCTGCGCCTTCACGTCTCTTAGTAGGTATATATTTCTTACACATATGAAGCACCTTATGAAGGATTTTTTTTATAACTTACCATCACTTTTTCATTCTCAGCAAAATCGCCATTGTGTATATTTTCTATCAGTTCTAATAAATAAAATAATATCAATTTTAGACAAGCACATAATTTATTGATTAAGTTTAAATATTTTACTCACTGTCGGATATTTTAAGTTTAGGTTGACAAACATTTCTAATTAGTTTTGCAGCATTCTGAAGTTGAGCTTCGTTCATTGGCTGAAAATATCGTCGTATAATTACAAATTAGAATTCACCCTCACCAAGATTTATAATCAGCAAATTACTCTTGACTAATGTTTTGTCATTATTTAGTCACCATGAGATATATTTATCTAAAATTTTCAATCTAAATAGTTTATAATATAGATGCATTAAATATAATTTAAGAGTCATTAATACAAATAAAAAATAAAACAAAGGTAAATTATATTCGGAGTGCAAAAACACTGGGAATTATTTTACAAACTGTATTCAAACTGCTTGACGATATTTTAGAGGATTGGCAAAAGATACAGAGTTGTATTACACCTTACATTGTTATTTATTGCTATTTATATTATTTAGTTTTTATTTTAAGTCTGAATGTTAGTAAATTCTGCTTGATATAGTAAAGTTAAAAAGCACCCCTACTTTTAATAGAATACTGCAACGTTTAGACAAAATATAAATAGATATAATAGGTAGGTACCTTAAGTATTTATATTATATTAGGTACCTGTACCACTATAAGAAATTGAAATGAAATAAGTACTGAATAAACACTCTGTATGTTAAAGCAAAATCGGCTTTAAATTAGGCAGCCCAAAAAGCACTAAGCCACTGGTTCAAATCGACACTCGCTTAGCAAATGAATAAAACGTTATTTAAATAAATTTCAAAATATTTTTTTATTCTTTTAAGAACAAACACAGCTTAGTAAGAAAAATCATCATCAATCAATACTTCGTAAGTCAACAAAAAAAGAAAATATATGTTTCAAATAGATAATAAGTAGATTCCTTAAAAAAATATATTATAACTTACCGTAGCTTCAATTCTATTAAAACTAAAAGCACAACTTAATAACAAAAGAAAAATTCTCATTTTAAATAAAAAAAATCAAATCCTCTTCTTTTCTAAAGCTATTAATTACTTATAGAACGGTGCTTACGATGGAAATTAATTTTTATGTAAGCAGACGCCTTCTCAAAATCCGATATTAATACTGGAAAGGAGAAAAAAATGATATACATTTAATTACAATGGCACAACGTTAATTTCCCTGATATGTGTGTATGACAGATATAATTACCGCTAGTATTATGAGATTGCAGTTTTTTAATAATATATTTATAGCAAGATGTCATAAGCAGGTATAATCAAATTAACATTACTTAGAAATGTAGTAATTTGTAGTTGGAAACGGAAAAAAAAGACACTAATAGATATAGATATATATTAATCTTTACTGAAATGAAAAAAGCTTAACAGCTAACAATTTACAAGGTAAATACATGGATTACAACCAACTCTTCTTATTTAATTGATTATATTTTAACATGTTTATTTTAATGGAGTCAGCCATTTCTTTGGCATTCCTCGTCTGTCCGTAATAATCCACAAAATTGCCGTCGGGATTCACTAAATACATTATTATCGTATGATCGACCTGAAAAACATTTAAGATTTATAGAATATACAGAGTGATCAAATGATATATAGTCAAATATAAATGGCAAAGCGACAAATTTGTAAATAAATTGAACGTTTTAAAAAACAAAAAAGAACCGGTAAATAGGAATAAATTCTTGACTCACGAAATGAAATGGAACTCATTAATAACAATGCTCAAACTCAAAGAAGACAGTGAACACGACAAAAACTGAAATACTAGAATCAAAAGAGGAAGGAACCACAAAAAAGAGAAGACAAAAGAGATTCATACTTATAGGCGCTCCACAAGAATACATACATTTTCGAGAAATTTTTGGGGAATAAAGATCCGAGGTCTTCCAAGCGAACATTTCGCGAATACCTTGTATATATGGTCGTGATCAGTATCGAATGAAAGGTACATTTATTTATGTGTGCAGAAAAATCAAAAACATTAAAAAAGTTCATAGTGGCCCTGTTCACGTGACTACAAATACACATTTGTTTTTCACAAATAATTATATATTTCTATGCATGTATACTAAAAATGAAATGTTGAAATTAAATTGAAATATTAACATTGTAAATTGAAGGACTTAGTTTCCATTTACAAGAAAAGATCCTAGAATAAAAGTGAAGGATTAAAACTTTGATAACTTACAATATAGTCGTTATCACTGTCTTTTGGTCCAGCACTAAAATAAACTCTGTATGCTTTGCATGCTTTAGCTACTTGTTCTTCAGTTCCTGTTAACCCTAACAATCGGGGGGTAAACTCATGGCAGTATTTCCCCACTATCTCAGGTGTATCCCTCAATGGATCGACTGTTATAAATAGGGGCTGTACTTTTGGACAATCTGAATTATCTAAAAATTATTTTTATTAAAACTCTTAATTCCAGATAAATTATAATTCATTTGTACCAAGAATATTAATCACTTCTGCCATTTTTTCTAATTCATCAGGACAAATATCTGGACAATGTGTAAATCCAAAGTAAATCAAAAGCCACTGTCCCAGGAAATCTTCACTTTTTCTTAGTTTGTTATTAGTATCAACTAATTCGAAAGTTCCTCCTATTTTTGCTTTGCCAAGCATTCTTTGTCTTTCTTTAGCTTCCACTACAAATTGAGCATTAATAGTTTAAATCATAAAAAAAATCAATTGTTATAAAAGAACAAAAAATTACTGACTTTCGTCTTTCCTTTTTTTTAAATGGTACATCCACCCCATAAAACCAGCTCCAATAACTGCTGTTACTGTTAAGCTTTTCCATGTTATTGGGCCTTTACCTCTCCCTGGTGCTGAATCTTTGGCTTGAGGTTTTTCAGAACAGAACTCTCTTCGAATATTAAAACTACCCTGTCTTTTAAAGGAATACTGTTTGTCTTAATTAGCAATTAGTAGATATCAAATGGGCAGTAATACATACCAAACTAAATATACTGCTGGAATCTCTTGCAAAATTACGCAATATAGGACAAAGGCTATTTGCTTTTAACATTTTTTTACCTTACACGTATATAAAACTGTCTTTACCAAAATATAAGTTTCATTTCTGGCATTACCTAATAACCTGTTCTGCAACTTAAAAATGCCTTCCGTCTCGCCACAATTGAATATTAAACAATGTTTTGTAAAATAACCAGTGTTATAGCGATAATACTACTGGTATCAAAATTGTTATAATTGAGGTTAATATTGAGGTTATAAACAAAGAATCCACAGTGTCTATGAGGCATATGTTGAATAAATGTTAAATGTTTTTTTATTTAATTGTTATCGTCAATAATTTTATTACCAGTTATCTAATTCAGAAATAATGTAATTTATGTGTAATTTCGTGAGTTTATTGCTTCTCAAGTTTAAAAAGAGTTCAGTTGAAGTTTGCAACAGTTACAAAGAAGCTACTTTGGAGACACTTCTTCCAGCTAAAGATAAGTCCAACCATAACCTTAAACTGTTTACATTTTTAAAGTATTGTCATAACGTGTTTTATCGAGATTTGTTTAATTAAACGAGAATAAGAAATATAGTTACATTTTGTAAGGATGGGAGACGGAAATTCAGAGCAAGACAATATAACGGAAAACGGCAAAGAATTGGATGAAAAAGCTGAAGTAAATAGTGAAAAACAGGGCTCACATTGTAAACTACTTGCTGCTTCGCACAGTGAGAAGTCTCTAAACAGCCGTAAGCGTAGTATCATTTACTACATCGTTTACTGCTTATTTTTAATACTTATTTTGCAGAACTTACGTCTATTTTTACAGATAATCAAAGTAACGAAGAGCCTCCTTGTAAACAATTCAAAAGTAGTGTTAATATAAATGGGGATTATACCAATGAAAAGTTCATTACCAAATTCAAGGAACACTGGAATAATAGCAAACCCTTTCTATTTAATAATTCTGAACTAATTGTTAAACCTTTTAAAGTAACTATATTACCTAACTTTATTGAAGACAATTTTTTATTAACAAAGATTAGAGAAGAATTTAATGAAATTGAATGGCACAAAAGGAATATGGACCTATATGAATTTCTTCAGTCATCTGACTTGAAACATTTAGGAAGCTCCAAATACATTTCTATATTTTACAAATTTCTTGAAGAAATTGCCATGAAATGGGTAAGTAGATAAATTTATTACAATGTTAATTTCTGCTCTTACACCAAGTAGTGTTTGTTTTAGATAAGTGACATAACTGGCTTAGAACTTGTTAAAGTATCTGCTACATGCAGTTTATATGGTGATACTGATTATCTTCTCGTTCATGATGATCAACAGGAAGACAGGATGGTAGCATTTATTTTATATCTAACTGAGCCCGATTGGAAGGAAAGTTATGGAGGAAATTTGCAGTTATTAAATAAAAACGAATTTAATGAACCTCTTGATGTTGTAAGGGATATTTTTCCATCAAACAATCAGTTTGTATTTTTTCAAGTAACAAATGACTCCTATCATCAGGTGAATATATATCACTAAAACCCTGTTAAAACTTCCTTCTTCCTGTACTGTGAATTTAAAAGTCATCCTTTGGTTGTATAGACCTCACACGAAAATGTTAGTTTATTATGATGATGATGATTGAAGAAGGTTCTTAAAAAAACCAGCACGATTAAATAAATTAAAGGTTGCTCATGAATTTTACAAAAAATAAAAAAAGTTAGTTTTTCTTGAAATTTTTGCTTGAAAATGTTTAAACTCTTTCAGATGAAGGTTTCGTGAGTACTGCATAGTTGTGAGTTGTATAGAATGAAAGGTACGTTTATCTATACATGCAAATAAATCAGAAACATTAGAAAAATTCGTCATGGCACTGCCCACATGACTAAAACTTCAGTAAAATCATTAAGACTTTCTTCTGGTCTTGTTACAGCGCCTTTCAGTATCCCATAATTTTTTCCTCTGTTATAAAAAATACTTCAGTTTTGTATTTTTTATTTTAATCAACAATTTCTAATTAAACTAATTTTATTTAGGTTTCTGAAGTTACCAGCAAAAATAATTGCAGGCTAAGTATAAATGGTTGGTTTCATTCAAAATTGCCACCTATTTTTCAAGCACCATTATATAATCCTCCCACTAATGGTATTTTTTCACAACACTTCATAAGCCCTCAAGAAGCTGATATCGATTTATCAGACTGGATATCTGAAGAATATTTGGATGATAAAACAGCAGAGGACATTCAAGCTCACATTGAAGAAAACTCAGAAATATCCTTGTGCAGTTATTTCAAACAAGTTGTCATTCAGACAATACTTGAGGAATTAAAAATAGACGGTAATTTTAAAAATTTAATTTGTTTAAAATAATCAAAACAGTCAGTCAAACATAATATTATACTCTTTTTTCTTTTATTTTAAAAGTGTATTAAGATTATCTTTTAGGAATACATTGGACACAAGTAGGTCCTCCAAATAGATTTCTGTATTCCAAATTGGAAGAAAAAAATCTTCCTCATACTTTAGAAAGACTGTTACTATTATTCAAATCTGAACAAATGTTCGATTTATTGAAAAAATATACAGACTTAGATTTAAAGTGTTTGAAATATGAAATGCAAAAATGGACTCCTGGAAATTACATGGTAAGAACTTTAGTTTTGATGTAAATAAGTTTATTACTTGTTGTCAATGCCTGTCACTGCAGCATATTTACTTCAGCATTTAATCCCAAACTTGAGAACTTTCAAGGAATCTTAAATATGTTGTAGACAAGATCTGTATGGTTTATCTTTCTCTTCCACATTTGTGTTTTAATTCCAAAGATCGTTTCTAAAGAATAAAGTTTAGATATCTTCCATTTACTTAGTTCCATGCTTCTTTCTTACATTACTAATATAACAGTAACAGTGCTTAACATATATGAAAGAAGTGCTTTTTGTCTTTCACTCTCACTGTTTGGTCAGCGGTGAACAGTCTAGTATAAAGGTGGTTGTCATTTATTAATTTCCATTTTCTAGATTTCAGTTTCCAATTTAAACAATTTATGAAAAATACTAATACTCTAGTAAATAGCCCTGGCGAAGTCCTTTTCGTTTATCTATAATTCATTTCACAGTTATTACATTTTTCATAAATTCAGAAGTGTTTTTATTGGAAATATAATATAAACTTATTTTTTGCGAAATGTTATTTTAGTTATTATCTGATTATGACTGGGCTGAAAGGAACGAGTTGGATTTAATTCTATATCTTGGTTGTACTGATCCAAACTCAGTAATTGGTGGAAGAACTATGTATGTATCAGTAGAAGATGAAGTTCAACAAGCTTTTATAACTGTAGAACCACAGGAAAATAATCTTAATATAATATTTAGGGATACAGCAAGATTTACAAAGTATTTTAGTAAACAAAGTACTTGTAAATGCTTTTATATGTTAATTTGTTCATATTCTGAATAAATGTTTGTAAGCTTTCATGATTGTTTTTTTCAAAAAATATATTTTCTTCTTGTGTGAAAGAGAAAGTTAAAAGAGAGTATTAAAGGCGAAATAATACCGCCATTAATTTCAAAACAGGCGCGGCAAAAATAGAAACTGGTATGTGACAAAGTAAAAGCTAAACAAATTTAGTTTAGGGAAAAAGTATCATTAATTAATTTAAGAAAATAGTTGTCAAATAGTTATTTATTTACTGACGCTTTTAAAGGATAATTTAATTCGTAATTAGTTAAATTCAACATAAACAATATTTGACTAGATTAGTACCTACATTATCTATGGTTGGTACAGCGGTTGATTTTTAGTTCTCTGAAGCTATGGCAGTCGTGCCGCGAATGTCTTGCGAGTTCGCGTTTCGTTTTAATTTGACTGTTTTAACTATGTTTAACTGTGTTAGTGCCACAAAAATAATTAAAAGCTAGTGATGATGTAAGTTTACAAACACCGATTTCGTTAATACACAATATTTACCACTGAAATGTTTCTACCCGTTAAAAGTTTTGGAACATTCCACTTTCAAATATTTCTGTAACAGGCTGTTGCCCAAACAGAGCATTTTATTTAAACTATATAAAGTATGTTTGTTTTTATTGGTAAATCTTTGATATTTCTAACTTTAGATAAAATGTAATTAAAATTCACGTTTCTATAATGTTATATTTGTTAAATGTACAGAAAGTATTATTGGAGATTTATAGAGTGATTCTCGAATCTAAAATGAATTATACATTGGGGTACGATTGTACCAGTATATTACAAAACAGTAATTAACCGTTTGCATTTTCTTAATTTTGATCTCAAACAAATAGTCATTATACTAATATTTAATAAAATTGAAATACCTACAAAGCATTTCGTAGTTTTTTGCTGTAATAACTACTATAAAGTAAACTACTTCTTAAATAAATAAAAAATAACTCGATGTTTATTCTGATTTTTATTAACAGAAACTGAGAGTAAAAGGAAAAAGAATGATGACAATAAGAACCAATATTATAATTGCTCTGTATCAACTAATTACAGACTCCTCTTTTCTGTAGTCTGAGTAATATACATATTCAACAATACTATTATCAATTTTCACACTATTATTTAGAAAACTAAAGGTTGACAATGTCAGCTTTAGTTTTCTTGATGACAAAGTAAATCCATTCTAATTGTACTGAAGTTTAACTCGTAACAGGTGTAAATTCAAAAGTTTCTGTATGTATTATTGTATTACTCTAAACTTTTCACTTGGTTGTTGTGTTGTGAAGAAATTTATTTCTTTTACTTTTGTTTTTAAGTTATCAACTTTTATTGTGAAACATTTGACTATGAGTTTAAAGTATCATAGGTACATGGAAGATGTTGATATTTTTTAGAAATTTTTAGTTGCTCTTAAATTTGATTTGCTTTTAAGTATGATCTTCAACTTACTTCTAAATTAATAATTGTACTTCTCCGAGGCATAGTTTAGTTGGGTAGAGTTTTTGTGACAAAAAATGTAAGGAACCTTTATGGTGAAACTTTATTTTGAAAATATTGCATTAGTGTAGTAACAACAATAAGAATTAGATAACGTTATAGTTAAAATACTCTTTATTGAAAATAAACAGTTTTAAACACATTAACATAAACAGCAGACAAATACATAATAGCAATTTGATAAGTGATAACAAATAATAATGAATAGAACATCTAACATGCACAACTTTTACGTTTGGCTTGCAGCTGCAACGTTTTACAATAACATGTAATAAACTGGGAAAGTAAGAAACGTTTTTCTAGCGATTTAAATGAAAAATATATTCTCAATAGTTAAATTATTATTGTCCACATCAGGTGATAAAAATATTTTTACACCTAGGTAAAATCGCATTATTTCAGGAATTCCTTTTAAATATCATCTCTTATTTATAAAATAGGTAATAAACTACATATTAAAGAAACAATGTAAATAAATTGTTTCTAATGGCCACTAAAGAATATGTCAATATTTAATAACAAATCGTATTAATACTCTACAAAAGACTAGGCCACTGCAAGCGTACAAAAGCAATACAGGCAACGTTTTAGTATTTCCCCTGCAATGATTACCTTTTTTATATTCAAACCGATGAACCTATGTGGGGTTAAATAGAAGTCAGTCTTGATAATTATAAAGACCATCACAGCCGACAATTTGGATCAAACCAAGTTCGTAAAACTACATAATCTGATAATTATTATTATTAAAATACTACTTTCTAGTTCCTTTCGCGTTTTAATAAACGACTAAGATTAATCTAACAAATGCATTAGGATTTCTATGATCGATGAAAAAATTCCCTCACCTCTGTTTAAATTTTTAGCAATATTAATAAGTCATTACCTCATTAACTGCACTTTTTGTTAATTGGTAAGTAATACTGGTAAATGATATTTTATAACAATTGAAGTTGGAAGAAAGGTATTATATATTTTACAAATTGTAATAGATATACATTTTACATGATAACGCAATTTTTATGAATTCGAAATTTAAAAGATACTTAGGTTGACTGGACAGTTTAATTTTAGAAATTGGAATGTCGCTGATTTTTATAGTTATTAAAAAAATGCTCTCAAAGTATTCACGAAAAAAAAAAAACAATGAAAAAGCTATGAAATTTCAATTTAAACAAATATTAATCGTGTTTTTAATTAAAAACCACTCTCGAAACGACTACAGAAATATTTTTGTAAAATCTAGACACAACTGTGAAGATGTTTTTTAACTCATATATTTGTTTTTAAATATTAAAAAGGAATTGGTCGAAGTATATTTCCATTGTCAAACCTTACATCCAACTTGTACGGCAACGGGCCCAATTATATGTTCAGTGCATTCAGGACAGACCTAAATTGGTATTTTCACGTACCTACGAAATATTTTAGCAAATCAGTGCCAACCATTGTGTAGGAACTCAGATTTGTACTTGAGCATTCCGTTCGGTTGAAAGTTTACATTTATAGTCACAGGATGCAGGACTATATTACTTAAATTCGCGAAACCATCTAGTAGATTGTAATTTTGTAGAAACGGTAACAATGTCAAATAATCAACAGTAATTGGTACATAAAACGATCCTTTTGCATTCAATACGAACACGGGAACGTTAAAATTGTTTTTCAAATCCGCGTTTCCTCTCCCGTTGTAGTGATGTATAGGACTCTCCGTTACACTCAGGGGATGGTACGGGCTGAGGTGCCGTTCGTTTCGGGGTTGATAGGAGGCGCTCGAATTATTTTCTGATTTGAGGTTAGCGGATGAGATTCGAGCACTTACTTCGCTTGAGGGTGGGGAGCTGCGACTTAAACTGTAATATAAAAAATACTTTTTTATAGCCACTTTTAAAGATTAAGATAGATCATTACAATCTCACATCTAATGCGTAAGCAATTCAAATTGGATTAGTTCCATTCATGAAATTTAACATAAACATGTATTGGAATTGGGAAGTGTTAGTAATATTATTCCTTTAAATTTCACTTAATAAATTTCATAATATAGATATTGGTCTTTACTTTTATAAATAAATTAGCGATAATAAAATTAGTTTATTAACCTCTTTTTTACAATAAAAAGAGCGCAATCGATTTGTTACCGTAGAAAGGTACTTTATGGTCTATTAAACCTTACTATTAAACTGTTGAGATAAATTTTATGGTCTGTAAAATCCATTACAAGAATTAAATGCCATTAGTAGTTTCTTGTGATCTTTGTTTTCTGAACTTTTGTTTATGACTCGCTTCAAAAGCATTTTTAAATAATGTTCAGGGTTGCTTTGAAAAGCATCAGTTTCAAGTGGTAGGAGCGGCCAAGGGTTTCTCAATAGTGATTGAACGACTGGTACACTTGTTAGCTGTTATAATGCAATGTTTACTTGTACAGTTACAAAATTAGCAAAAGTTTTTTGATGTATAAAAGGGCTTTTTCAAAGAAGGGATTTCTGCAAATATATTCCAAATCGAACTATTGTACATAATGAAAATCCGTCACAACCAGAAAAAAATGACTAATAAAGGCTATAAATTAGGGTTGTCGGAAAATTGAAATATAAATAGATACATTAAAAAAATTAGGTTTACTCAATGATCAAACAACATATAGCAATTCCCCCTTGTCTTAAATGTTTATCACCACTCTTCGAAATGTTTACAGGGGTAATTTATCTTTGTTCAAAATTTTCCAAATTTTTCTTCAGCTATATTTAAAATGTTTTCTTACCTTTGACTTTCAAGAGAAGCCAGAGAACTCCTCCTCATGTCGTCACTGTCCCGCCTTTGTCGCTTAAACGTCACCCCATTGAACTCCTGATTAAATCTCTGTTTAATATCTGTTTTGTACTTGTAAGAGACAGCTCCGTTGCTGTTTTCAGAATGTTTGTCATACACTTCCGGTTCTGACAGGTGTCCGTTTCGCACATTTGATGTGTCCATTTCGGTCGTGTTCACATTATGATGACCGTTACATTTCGTTTGAGGAGGTGATTCGTCTGAAGACGTTTTATTAGAATCACTCGTAGGAGGTGGTTCTTCTCGTCCAGATATATCAGAACGTGGAATTCCCAGGTCTGGCGGTGTCCTGACTTTTATGGGAGAGGGTGGGACGCGTGATAACGTGTCACAGTGTTTTTGGAGATGACTTAGGAGACGAACGCAAATCCCTTCGCGGGGAAAATGGCCTTCGACTTCCACAAGAAATCTCATTGCTTCTGACATGCACTCTTGATAGCCTAAGCTGTAAATAAGAAATTAGAGCAATGAATTCTCATATTCTCACTTATTTTAAACGGGTGATTGGTGGTCGAATCGCTTAAAAACACTAAGAAGTGAATTATCTTATGTAAATTCATAATTACAAAAAACTAAAATGTATTATTTATATAGTAATGATATATACAGTGAATTTTTCATAAAGGAAATATTATTAATTAAGAAAAATTCAATTTGAGAATTCGAGAAATTGGTAAAAGGCTGAGAAGTGAGGATGTCGACCAAAAAAACAAATGCATTGTGAAAATGCCAAAAAACCGTTCACACCTTGATCGTTATAAAATAATATAAAACATGTTAATACGTGAAAGATATCAACTGCAACTTTCAATAAGCAGTAGCTAGAGAAATGGATATATGGAAGGTCGCTTGTTGTACATACATTTGAATATTTTAAGATAAATAGTGTAAAAGTACAAGTGCATTAACGTTAATTTAAAATAAGTAAGAAATACCGTTATAAAACTGACGCAAACAAACAAATACAAAGACAGGAAACAGCGGTAGAAAATTAATAACTACCATAACTACAAATAAAATATCCAATTCCCAGAAATTGATTGAATAAGGCAAATAAACTATTCACATGAGCAAAATTAAAGCGTCTATTTACGTATGCATTCCTGTTTCAGAAATATTTGATTGTAATATAATGGTCTTTTATAAAATTGAAGAACCATTATCAGCGACAGGGTTTTATTTTACCATTATCTCAAAAACCTTAGAAAGAATTTGGATAGGCAGTAAGAACGGAAAATCAAAATAACGTTGTGCGGAAGAAACATGTATTTTCGCAAATATTACATGTAAAAGATCATTGATCTCCCATTCTTTTCGATGATACGCAGAAAACTGAATAAAAATTTCGGGCACTGTTAGGTACTACCCATGTTCTCTCTAAAAACCTTCAATAAATATTTTTGAAAAATAACTATGAAGTTGAGATATTTTATGTGGATTTGGTAAAATTATTTTGTACTTTGCCAAATTTCATTTCTAATTGACGAAAAGAAAATTTGTTAATTTATAATATGATTATTTTGATTCGAGAACTTTCTTTGAAAAATACTTTTATTGTGATTTTAGATAATTAAGTACTATGGATACGTAAAAGTACCCACATGATTGTTTATTAAAAGTAAATGAATGTCTCACCGGTAGTGTTCAGATGGGGTCGTATGAAGTTGTTGTAGGTATTTCATATGTTTGATGGCCATTTCTATGATTTCGGTCTTCTCTATCCTACCGCGACCTTTTTTCAAATATTCGGCTGGAATTAGACGAGAAAGATCAGCCAAGCAGTTGTTCATACGGTCCCTACGTCTTTTTTCTATTATTCTGTGTGACAATGGATCTTGCTATATATAAGCAAAAAGAAAAAAATGAAGTTATTTCTGTGATTCTGTAATTTACACGAAACATTTTCTTTTTCTTAATTTTCAGTTTGCGGAGTTTTATTGGTAATAAACAATCAAACAATTTTATGGTAACAGATAACATGTTCGGATGATAGTGTGGGGGAGAGGGGAAGAATTACGTTCCTAAACAGGCGAATAACGTATTAGGAATAGAGGGTAGATAGGGGAATGAATCAAACATTTACAGAAATCTAGAGTCCGGTATACCTAACTAAATTACCGTAGGGAGTAAATATGAGTTGGAATAAAACCGGTGAAAGGCAAGGGTAAATTGAACAAAAATTATAGCAAAAGCACTTGCAATATCTTGATTGGTTCTCAATATTTCGGAAAAAGTTTTGGATAAAAGTTTATGCTTTCGAATGGCAAATCAATTATCCTAGGCGGTAATCTGCTAGGTCATTTGAAGATCAATCCATTTTTTTTTCAATGAAAATACACATGTTTAGCCTCGGCAAAAAAAATTGATAACTGAAAGTACCCTTGAAATTGGTTTGCACTTAATTTTCTACATTTCAGGTACTTTTTTGCGATAGTTTTTGTCTACTTCACCCCTGTTTAGCACCTGTTTTGTTAACCGACTTCAAAAAAGGAGGGCGTTCTCAATTCGACTGTATATTTTTTTCTGTATGTTTATGTGTACAAACATGTACAAACTTAAACTAAAAAGTAAAAAATAATATATTAATTACTTCAAAGCAAAGTGCATTACAAAACAATCGACAAAATCATTGATACTTACATACATTTACAATTCATAATCAATTATTTTTGAAGTCGGTTTTTTTTCTAAAAATTAACTTAATTGCAACTCAAGTATCCGACCTTCGCGAATTCAATTAAGTAAACTGAATTCTAACGTAATGTAGAAAAAAAAATTGGACACTGCCACTCTAAATATCTACCCCTTGTTCATAGTGAGTTGCACTTGCTTAAAAATGTAACCCCCACCCCCTTATTATCCAAACATGTTACCGAATAATTCATCTATATTCAGAATTTTGTGGAAATATCGTGCCCAGCTCTCCGACTAATTATAAAACTTCGGTAATTATTTAGGTTTCATTGAAATACATATATTTACTGAGGTGTATTTGAAAATAATATTAATATAAAAATAAAAACTTCGTTATTTTTAATGTTAAACTAACCCTTGACGCTTTATTTTTTTTGTAAGGTCCACCATATTCAGAATCATCTTCACTGCATACCGCAGTGGAAAAATTAAGGTTCCTGTAACAACAAAAAAATTTATGAATTCATAATATAAAAATCCAATTATTTAGAATCATAATACAAACAAAAAAAAGTTAAAATAAGATGCTCTTTAATTTTATGTTAAGTAACTGCATTTCCCTCCCAGTTTTTTAAACACCTATTCTGAACAACAAAGAATATTAAGAAAACAATGTCTTTCAGACTAATCTATTTTGCTCAAAAATTACACTACGAGCTTTATGAAAGCTCTTGTAGGTATTATTTTTAAATTTAGAAAACAAATTAACTCATCTATAGATACTTATCCTACGGCAGCAATCTAGATTATGTAAATAATCATACCCGTTGTAACATGAATATACATTTGCCGGCCCCTCGTCTTTTAATTGTAAATGATGATGATCTTCTTTAGAATTTGCACTGTAACAAAACAGTAAATAAACAAATCGTTTACAAAAAAAGCATGTAAAGAGAAGGCAAAAGTATAGCCTAATCACGGTTAAAATAATTATAATAAAATACATAAAATATTATTTCGTCTCTATAGTTAAGATTTCAAATGATAAGTTTTTCCCTTGCAAGAACTCTCCTTAGTTTTAATACTTTAATACAAAAAGTTCGTGAAAATACAATAAAGTTATACAGTACGAAGAAGAGCAAAAAAAATACAACGTAGCAACGACAACTCACTTCGTGAGTGTTGCCTTCTCCTACCATAACCTTATATTTTTAACCATATCGGTCAAACAGACACTTGGACATCTTGCATACTATCCAGCTAGTTCACGAACTAGTTAGTTAAGCATATTAACCGAATCAAGTCAAAATCAGTAGGTATTACGATACTGTTACTGATAAACATTGTCTTATTTTTTATAGCAAAATACATGTCAATTTGTCAGTTATTCTGAATAGAGATTGAAGTTTAAGATAATTTATTATTTCTCGTCTATCTAAATTCCATACTTTAGATTTCTTCAGTTTTAAAAGCATTTTATAATAAGGATAATAACTTTAAATAGAAAGCTGTTAAATAAACAAGCGGTCTTGGCAGGTGTTACAATTCGCAAGTACAAAGGTCCCTGACTAGTAATAAATAATGTCTAGAAAAGTTTTACGGTATAAAATTGAACTCTGTTCCGAAGTAGGAAGTATAGCAAATTGGCAACGCGCCAGACACGTGTCATTTTACTTTCTTAGCGTATTTTATGGTTTTTGGAATTTTATTTCCACGGAATTGATTATCGTTCATCCGTGCTGAAGTACAAGAAATAAAAATCATTTAGCGAAAATAGAATGGCACTACAGCAACCACAGCGTGCTGTATTTTGTTTGAATATCGAAACTATTAATAAATAAAAAAGAATTATACGATGAAAAAATGCCGTTTCTAAAGTTTACGGCAGCGTGTTCGTTTATAAACAGACGGACAGGGGGAAATGACCTAGCCCTAGGGGTAAAAGACAGAGATGAAGTAGATAAAAATTATTGCAAAAAAAAAAACATGAAATCTTTTCAGTTGTTGTCATTATTTCGGAAAAAGTTCTAAGTAAATGTATGGCTTCGAGAGGGCAAATCAATTGGTAACTTTGAATGTTACTTTGACTTGAACATCAACTTGTAGTGATGTGCAAAATTTGTCTTGATCTTGCCGTCTTGGTCTTGGTCTTGCATTACGAATATGAGACCAGAACCGAGACTATATCAGTAAGACTTGCTTTACTCATCACTATCAATTTCCTACAGCTTTCATCTGGTTCTTCTAAACCAGAATCTCCAAGTTCCAGTAACTTTAATAACCTTTACATAACCTCATGGATAAAGGTCCACTCCTTCAGTAGATATTACATTTTTGACCTTATGGACAGATGTCCACCCCTTCTATGCATATAACATTCTCTTTAAGTGCGTATCCTTTATTATTTAACCTTCAAGTATTCTAGCATTAAATCTGCGTAATTAAACGACTAATAAGAGTTCAAAAACTATAATCGAGAGTTTTTAGTCTTGTCTTGAAAAGTATACCAAAGAGTAGAATAAGATTATCAAAAGATATTATATATTTTGATTGAAATAGGTTTCGTTAATCCTACTAAAGATACGAAAATATTCAATTAATGTTTGCGAATTTCGAACTCTATACTTTAGGTACGTCTCAGAAAGTAGCAGATTAAAAATCTAAACAATGTTTCATCCGAAATTGGATGGAAATATTTAAACATTTCCGCATTTTACCTAACAATCATAATTATACAAACTTTTGTATTTTAACAGAATGTATTTTCGGCCTGCTTGGAATAAATACACCAGTAGAACGAGTATTGTCTGTAATGGACAAAATGTGAAAATTGGAAAATTTCAAGTATTTCATAAAGGTCATACCAAATTTGGTATAGGTCTAGATGATGGGGGGGATCGAAAGAGGAGGTCTCCCCCACCACTGTACCATAAAAAGTTCGTGGCAGTCTCACCCCCAGAAAAAGTTGTAGGGGTTCAAAGTTAATAAATATACCAATTTTTATACATTTCTAGGCATGTAAATATTTATATAGTCATTCTTAAACAATATTCAAAGGTAAAACTAATGAAAAATACATAAAAATATTGAGAAAGTTATATAAAACATTATTTAAATATCTTTATCAATAGGTTAGGTTAGGTTATCGGGTTTTGTTCAAGTGACCACCCTCTTTCGATCCCCCACCTCCACCTGCTTGAAAATATTTTTTTTTATTGAATTTTATTTAAGTTATAGTGTATGAAAATTGTCAAAATAATCAACTTTCAACCCTCATAACTTTTTATGGGGGTGAGACCGCCTCTAATTTTTCATGAGGTTTTACTCAGGTGACACCCCCTTTCGATCCCCCCTACCCTCTTTCGATCCCCCCCACCCCACCCCCAGGAGAGAGACCACCCCATCATCTAGACATTTACCAATACACCAATAGAATGAGTATTGTCTCTGATGGACAAATTCTAAAAATCGGAAAACTTCAAGTATCTCATAAAGGTCATACCAAAGTTTATTAACCATACTTGAGATGTGAGATCTTGATTAATTTTGAATTAGTCCTCTTAACCAACGGCCTACATAAATTCATGCCATGCGTTTTTTTCTCGTGTTGCGCCACTATTGTTATACATTGTAATTCCGGTGCTTTCAATGTTATTTTTTGCTGTCGCATATGGCACATAAACGTGCATTTATGAAAGTAGTAGAAACGTTTGTCTTTTATCGTTTCAAAAATCGACATTACACTCGTCAACGAAAGGCAATTGATCGGCCTTCAAGCCACGCGATTTATATTTACACTCATCACGTTTTCAGACACACTTTGCGTACCCATACTAAACGTGTTGTATTGTAGGTACATCCATATCGCCGAAGGTAAAGTAAATTTGCTTTGCCTATATTCAGATCTGTTCGTGTAAATTTTACATTTTTATCCTTGTACTAAAGAATGAAACGAAAACAGCACTCTCGTTAGGTATTTATTCATATAGTCGCTCTTGAAAAAGAACGAGAGCTTTATTATTAACACGTAAAGTAATCTCCCAACGTGCATGTAAGGTGCGAATGAAAAGTTGAAGGGATTCCAAACTATGTATTCGATAGTCATTTCCGGTTATATCAGAGCTAAACACAAACTTCATTTTAGGTGGGTCCACTACATGTGTAGTCTCAATGGGTTAACGAAGCAATAGGAACTTATAAAAATTCTGGCATTCAGTCAAGAGAAAAGATATCCCTACACTTCTTTTGTTAAAACTATCGATTAGTATGCCAACCTCCGATTTCGTCGTGAAGTTAATTTTAAGGGAAAGTAACAATAATATTGTAAATACGTGTAATTTTTACGTTTTAACGATTTTATTGATTCCTCCACCATGACCGCTAAGCTAAGCTTAATTTATTAATTAATTAACAAACAACAGAGCGTTGAAGGTAACCATTTTATAAATGAACTTAAACAACAGACGTTTTTACAATAAAGAACAAAAAAACCCTTTCACATACTTTTTATTTTTTTTTTTTTCGAAGACGAAAAACTTCAAAACCTGAAAATGGAAGGGTAATATTAGGATCCGTCAAATGGGAGGAGCCTAAAAACATGGCGCCGATTAGGGAAAATTTATCGTAGTTCATATAGTGTACCGTGCAATTTCCAAGTTTTTAAATTACAACAAAATGATAAGTATTGACACAATGTGTGATTGGGCTGACACAAAACCTCGGAAAGGAAATTTCGTTAAAGGTGAGCGTGTTTTTAATGCCAATCACATTATAAAATTCGGAAATAGCAAATCCGGAAGCTAGCCTTCAAATTCCGTCAAGTTTACTGCCTACTTTTTACAAACTTCGGATTTAAAAAGTGATTCACGTTATACAATTGGTGAAGTGATTCTGGGTGATTTAAGCAATATCATATCAATGACTTGCACGTGCAAAGCCGATTTAAGAGAACGTTGCAAACACATTATTGCAACTTTGTTGTATGGCAGCAGGTAGGTTCATAACCTCAAAATACTTATATAGTATCATTAGAATTGTGTTAAATCAATTACACAGGAATAAATAATTTCTCACTTTATAATTGTAGTACGATTCTAGTTTTAAATATTAAGGTTATGGCTGATGGTAATTACTTGCTGAAATATAATCATGTGCATTAAAATGACGTGGACAAATTTTTATTCCGGAATTCACTTCTTTGATACCTACTGCTTTTATCCAAGCTTCTATTAGTTTACTTTTTTCTCTAATTTTCAGAATATATTTTTTACATATATAAAACGATTAGTTTTTATTGGAAAGTAGTTAATGTAGGTGAAGAGTGAAGATCTATGTCTGAAGTGCTATTGCAGCTTTTCACTGAACATATTAACTTTTTATTTGATTTAACTTTAGAAGAAAACTTCGTCGACTCCATCATCAAAAAAATTTTTACTTTTTTAACGTGTTTTATTATTTTAATAAACAATTTTACAATTTGCGTGCACAGTTCCTATGTAAATTTTTCCCTCATTCGAGTTATAAATATTGCCACCAGATGGTGTATGCCCATTTGACGGATCCCAATACGTACGCAAATAATTTTTTTGCTATTAGGTGAAACAAATGCTCCAATCGGGGGCAATATTTAAAACAAAAATCTAAATATCCTTGATTTTTTTCTTCGAGAATATTGGAGATTTTCTTCAATACACAGCAAAAGAAATTTGGAACACATTAGTTAGTTAATATTTACATGTGTACTGGATAGTTTATAAAATAGGACGTAAAGTAACTTGTGTGCCTAGATTGTAGGCTTTAGAATGTGATTTAGTCATCAGCGGGCGGTTTTCCATTTTGGGCTGGGCAAGGAGCTCATCAAGCCCCAAGTACATTTTAAACTCGACTTCGAATTACAAAGCACTTCAATAAAGCAATTCGTTTACGAAACACCGCAACTTATCTACGAACCAGCTTAAAAAAAAGGTGCTTCACATTTTGAAGCACAAGCACTGTAGCTTTGTCCAGAAAGTCAGTTATTAATATTGTGGCAAATACGTTTTTCATAAATAAATAAAATGACATTTAGCATCTGCAAATGTTTTTGATTTTACAATTTGTACATATTGTAACAAGAAATTAGTATTAATTAATATTAAGTTTTGCCCCAGATTAGGGGACCCCAACACATGGCCCAACCCCTCAAAATTCCATTACTTAATACGTACATTTCAAAAATTCTATGTTTCAATTCAATCAAAGGTTATTCAATTTTCAATAATAATTCAATTTTAAATAAATTCTCAAATACTGCTAGACGTCATCATGGTTAGACGAGTGGAGCGTTTTCATTCTCCGTGTTACTTACATGTGTATAAAATCATGAAAGTGCTTTTTCGTATGTGCGACAATAGGCCGATAAAGAATAGTTTCCAAATATGCAGGACCAAGCAGCAGGAAGAGTTCGCCCAAGCAATGTCTAACTCAAAAACTTTCCAATAAACGCTTGCTATCTATTTTCATTAATCCAACACTCTGCAGTTAATTAAGGTCCCACTCTTATTATGATTGGTTAGTTTTTATTAAATATTTTTTAGAATTTTTTTAAAACAACATTTATGTATACGATATCTCTTATTATCTCTAATATTGAATATAGACCTATTGCCAAATAGTAACTTTACCTATTATTGTATGTATTTTTATTCCTGTTGGTATATTTCCACAATAATTTCGCAACACCTGTTTTGTTTTCCTATTTACAAACCGTAAAGTTACAACAATTTGGAACAAACATAATATGCCAACGTCTTGTAAAAAAATATGTGCGTCAATAAATTTTTTTATATAGTTAATAATCGTTTGTTTACTTATCAAGAGCCGGTCATGTTCGTATGTTTTGCATGAATACTCCATTGCCAAGGTGTGAAATTATTTTTAGAATTAAAATAATGTTGAGGTCAGTTAGCATTTAAAAGGCGATTCGATCGTTACCAAAGGTCATTCATGTATTCAAGTTTGTAGTAAAGGCAATCAAACCACTACATATAGTATGTGTGATAATATACATATGTATTTATTTATTACAAAATAATTCAACGTTTCTGTCCATCGTATTTACCTCAATTCTTAAATAATTAAACACGTACATTATCATCATCGTACGGTCGTCAGTCCTAAGACCGATTGGACACGCACCTCCACTCTTTTCTATATCCTGAGCTAATCGTCGCATTTCTCTAAAATTAGAACAACAGCGGAATATCGATTTTTAAGACATTTAACATTACTTTCCATTAAAGAAAGTTGGGTACTGGATATACAGAGGAATCCCAAAATACATAGTACGATCGGGGTGTCCTGAGAACCGTATATTATAGCACGTTACACTACCAAGGATCTAACCTGCGAAAATCAGCGCGTTGCCAGGTAGATTTCCTTTTAATTTCTTTTTTTTTACCGAAATTTATCGTAAAAAAGGAAGACCTTTTTAAGGGTTCAGTATCTCAAAAGGAACATCTACAGGATACCTTCGTTGTCCGACTATCTGTCAAGACCCTTTTTCTTAGGAACGCGTAGAGGTTAATATTAAATACGCGGGGCTGCAATCTCATGGAGCTGTAAAAAAAATCTATGTCAACGCAATCAAAAATTTTATTTTTTTTTTATGCCGCATATTCTCAGGGGTATCAAAACCTATAGGGCACTTCCCGTTGACCACGAATCATGAAATTTGGCAAAGACCAATGTCTTATAGCAGAAGTAACGGGAAAAATCCGTAAATTTAGAGTTGCATCACAAAAAAATAATTTTTAATTGTACGTTTCGGGGACTTATTTGGAGCGGAAATTTAAAACATACCCGGAAAAAACGGGAAAAAATCTTCAAGATTCGATTCCCGTGACGGATCAAGTATTTACATACCTACAAGTTACCTCGGTGCGGCAGTCAGATTCACACTTAGCCGATTTTATTTCTTTACTTATTCCCAAGTATTTAAAGAAATTTTCAAAGTGCATGTAACCTTTAAACATTTAAACAGCTATAATTTAATTGGCACAAACATTAACTTATATTTTCTTAGGTTTCTGTAATTACCAATTTTTTCATGTATCAAAATGTATAACTTAAGTCACATTCGAGTTCCAAATTTGTACAAACCTACATTAACATTTGTATTATGTTGCAACAGCGTTAATCTTTCGAAGGGGTTATTTTCTTATTTTACTTGTTTTAAATCAAGTATACACAAAAATTTAGAGTTTAAGCGTTAGTGGAGATGACAACTAATACCAACTCTAGGCTATTATTAAAGTATCTGTATCTTCTGCCGCTTATTTCATATTTGTTGGTTTATACTCATCATTTTTTATTAGTTTTTTAATCCCATTAAAATTATAAATAAATTTACATATGTATGTGTTAACCAAGCTACATATATTATGTACTTTGGCCCTAACAAATAAAATGTCGTAGTTGACTAAAAGTCGAGTTGTACCGTTCCCCATCAAACCTCCTAATCCCTAGATAATTATGTATTAATTAGCAATATTTTTTGTTATTTCGCTTGTAAATGTTGAATTTATTTGAAACGATTCTACTTACCTTGACTTACGTTGAAAACAAAATTGAGTTGTAAATTCGATTACTTGTGAAGAAGAAAACTTTGCGTCGTCATCGCAAAAAAAAGAAAAACAAAATAACATTTAAAACAAAGATAATTCAAAAATTTACATAAATATGGGTTCAACGACAAAATGGGACGTCACGTTCGGAAGAAATCGATGAAGTCATTAAATCTGTTTTGTATACGAAAGTGGAGATTGAACGGTTTACAAAATAACTGTTTTATGGTACAACGGCTTGATATCTAAGAACGCTCTGTATGACCGTGAAGCGCGCGCAATTTCCGTTTCTTGCTAAAATTCCACTCTAAACGCGCCGTTATTATAACCATGTCTCTTTAAATTTTTCGGATATATTTTATTATATTTTCATAATGATTTACCCACTACTTATTATAATATAAATTTTCACGCCAAATATTTTCTTTATGAAAATGTTTTCAGAAGATGATAATACTCGATTTGAAAAAAATATACTTGTAAGCTTGAATGTTTCTAAAAATAATTACAATAACAGTTACACAATATTATCAACTAATACCTTAAAAATCCTCGAGGAAATTATTTTTTTTCGTACCTATCTATTTCATTATCTGATTATAACTGACCTTCAGACATGAAAGTGGGCTCGTAGTGATAATAAATTTTATTTTAAACTTATTTACCACAAACATAGATCATATATTGCAAAATGTAACTTCAAAAATTTTTATCAAAAATTATCACAAACTGTTTTGAAGAAGTAAAATGTTTTTCTTTTAATGATAAAACAATAACAGCTTTTATATTTATTAATTTATTTTACTCTAATGTTTGTGATGGTACATACCTGGAATTTCTATAGGACTTATGACGGCATTTCCCCAGCATTCCTCAAATGACAATATACCAGGAATTCTTCGGAATTGCCCCCATTACCCAGGAATTTCCAGAAAGTCCCTCACCTCCCATGTAACCCTTAAAGAATTTTGCAAATGTCAGCCTTAAGGAAACCCGATTCATTTGTTCATTGGTTTTTCTTATGGGTGTGCGAATAGTGTCAAACTTGAAAACTAATTATCGAATATCAGTTTCCGAAAATATCAAAATTTTTGGAAACCTTTTCTACCATTCAATTTTTTTTTTTGAAAAATTAAATTCTTCGTCATTGCTTTTTAAAACTTTTACTATATTGAAAAAGCATTTCATACAAGAAAACATTAAGATACTCACATTTCAAATTTATTCTAACATTCTAACATTTTATTATTCAATTCACAACCAGAAAATTTCAGATATTTGCGCACCCATAGTTATTAACTAATTTATCTCAATTCATAAATTGATCTTATTCTTCCTTATTGTGGGAATTTGTTTGTTTCATTGGAAAAAGTTACACAATGAACAAATTTTTTTCCGCGAATTTTGCTTTAATTGCTTCAACATTCTAATATTAACGATTTAAATTATTACAAAAAAGTAAATTACTTAAATCAATTTTTTCTTTTCTTTCAGAGATTTAAAATCCAGTCGTTTTTACATTGGACAACAGGAGATAAGGTAAAATAAATTACTCTTTTATTAATGTTCAAAATTTCTTGGAGAGTCCTTTTTCGAATTTCTCGCATTCGGCAATATTAATTTTTTAATAAATCAATTAAATCAATCGGTATCTGATCATATATTATAAAGTTGATCCAAACCGGATCTAAATCTAAATTTGGCCTATCTGTAAAATGAGAGCCTATTGCACCTAATAATCTGCTATTTTTTTTGTAGAAAACTCTGTATGAGTTTTGAAAAGCAAACTATGGTACTTCCCCGATTCGCGAAATATTTTAAATAAAATACAAAACAGTATTTAAATGCAAGATAAAAGTAGGTACTTTTTATTTTGTATTTGCATTTAAAATGAAAGTTTTTCAAATCTCTGGTTTTGATCAATATGACTCAAAAGCATGAACAATTCTTTGTTTAAATATTGATACAGTAAACGTATGAATTTTTAATTTAAGTATCAATTTAATTTTGTTGTTTAATATTACAAATACACGGATAGAATTTACTTTTGCTCAGGAATGTTGGAACATGTATATTATATAGCTCGGGGGCCTAGAGCCATTTCTACAGCTAATACAGCTGTGGTTATTTTTGCTTCATTCATATTACAATCATCAATAATGCAATCGATTTTTTTGGGGCACTTTTAACTTATCCACCACGCTGATGAGCTATATCACTTTCAGAATCAGGCAACAATAACAAGCACGATAAGATTTATGTAAAACATAACTTATTATATTAAGGTGCTTATTATATATAACTTGTCATTCTTTCTAAAGCTGAAAAACAGTGTAATTTGCAATATATGTAAGATTAACTAACAAAAAATTGAGGAAAGTAATTAAAACGCCGTAAGTCGGTTATTATAATGTAGAGGTCTTCTATTTTACAACGCTGCTACAGAAAGGGGTTCGGCGGTCCACCAGATATGCATTTTGTGGGAATCCCCGAACATATCATACGGGAAAACATTCATAATGGTTCATTGTAACCGGGTACGTTATAGGCGAAAACTTTGTACATATTCGAAGTTTTCATCGTTCCTGTAGACACCGAAAAGTTTATAAATTATTTCTATATGTATAACGACCCTATTTTAATCTGATTGTAATACACAGAACTTTCCCTAACTTAAAAGCAAGTTCACCTCCTTCGAAAAGGTCATTTAGTCATTTACATAGACTTCGATAAATAAAATACTAAAACAACCAATCATACAACATATCCGGCAAGAAGAAAACCAAATACTCTGCATCGTTAACTGTTTTCATAGAAAACAAGGGTAGGAGGAAAAATTTAGCAGTTGTTACATCTTAGTGAAAATTAAACATTAATGAATTAATATAAAAATTGAAATTAAATAATTAGAATTCTCTTNCATAGAAAACAAGGGTAGGAGGAAAAATTTAGCAGTTGTTACATCTTAGTGAAAATTAAACATTAATGAATTAATATAAAAATTGAAATTAAATAATTAGAATTCTCTTAGAATCTTCACCACATTATTTATTTTACTCTACACTTATTTCGCCTTTTTATTCAGGGGATGAAAAAGGTATATTTGTAGGGGAGGGAGTGGAGAAGTAAAGGGGCTAGTGGTAGTGGTGAAAGATCGAATTGGTATATAAGCGGTGGGGAATAGAGGGAGTAAGGAGATGTGTAGGCGTAGGGGATGAAGGTGAAAATCCGAATATTGGAAAAGAGGCTGTGGCAATTACTAATCTTATCCGAACCTGAAGCTAAGCTAACCTAATAACCTAAACAGGTTAAGCCGCCTATACAACGTGGAAGGTACCATGAGGAAAGGGCAAATTATACACTTGTTTTCGAAAAGATTAATGTTACCAAGCATCATTAAAATTTAAAAACGTCATTGAAGTCTAATATTCTACACACTTCTGCAAACATTTTAAGTTGTATAAGCCTTTGAAGCTGTTCTAAAAAAGAGTAATAAAACAAATAATATCTTATTCAAAATTCGAAGAATTTTAATCCAATTTTTGTATTTTAATAGAAAATTAAATATTAGATGTTACCAATTTGTTTGTTGAGTCTAGACAAATAATAACTGCACAGGTTATCATCCTGCGACCTGTAAATAAAAATGTACGTAATCCTAAATTTGACTGTTATATAACAGGGTAATCACACGAATAAAATTTGTTTAAAAAATGAATGTATCGCATAATTACAAACATTAATAAAATTAAATGTTCATATGTGTTATGTATATGTATGCTTACATATATTTTCTATAGTTATATAATTCGTTCTCAAAAACTGCTCTAACAATTTTTACGAAACTACCTAGATAATTTCGCACCGTGTGCTAACTGTTCATGTAGTTGTCCATCGTGCCGAAAAGACACTAATGCTTAAACTTCTGACAAATATGTGATTTGCCACCGGAACCGAAGGCTATTTCGTTACGATTCTGCCAAAAATTGTAACATTCGTCTCTCAATACAAAGTTGAAACAATTGCATTTGCAGCAGGACGAAAACATACAATGGGCTGAAACAAAGCAATTTCGGACAGTGTGGCAGCAGTCATAAAGCTGTACGTCGTGCCGAACAGGCACTAATGATGAAACTTATGTGCCGAAAAATAGTATACGCACCCTAGGGTGAATGTGGACTACTTTTTACCGCGCGAACCGAAGGCTGTTTCGTCACGTTTTCGCCAAAAGTTAGAACATTTGTTCGGCAATACGAAGTCAAAACAATTGCATTTGCGGCGGAACGAAAACGCACAACGGGCAGAAACTAGAGAATTTCGCACCGTGTCAGCTGTTATGTAGCTGTCACTCGAACCGAAGAGACACTAGTATTAGATCGGCTCAATTTATGATAGACATGAAGTCCTAATTAACATTTTTCTATCGTTAGGTTAATATTTTTCATTCAATCAATAAATTCTCTATTTTGCTAATGCACGATAGCATTTATTTTATTGTTGAATATGTTGTCAGAGATCTATCATGTTTCGATCTTATAAATATTTCATGTGGAAATTATTAACTTTGGAAGGAGGATATTCTGACTACACTTGAGACTCTGGAACGCCTGGAATTCTCACGAATTTTTTTTTAGAAGCAGTAAACATCCTCGACTGACTTTCTTCATGAATGTAAATTTAATTTGATAAATGGTGCATGTACTACATATACTTGCAACCCACACAAACACCACGGACACAGGTTCGCCACAATTTCAGAACGATTCAGTTAGCGCTAATAGGGGATGTCTTCTTTAGTTTATTTCATGAAACATTTTTACTATTCTGCTTTTCACTGCGTAAACATTAAGCACATTTACTGGCATGAAGAAAATAAAATTACATACTACCCTCCTCTCACACATTGTTTTTACGCTGTAAATTCCAAAAGGTGACGTGTAATACGAGACCAATTTGACAAAAAGCGTTATCTGTAAAATTGGATCGATGCGTAAAAGCTTACTAAAACATTGTATTTTGTAACAAATCATATTTTTGACATGGATTATTTTCAGATACGAAAAAATAATTGCCTTTTTGGTTGAACATTTTGTTTGACAATGAGATCGAAAAAATATATTTTATCAATTTAAACATTCAGTTAGGTACTTGAGGAAAACAAGTCACTTTATTTCGTGAATTATTTATCATTAGTAAGGAATCTGCGCGTAACTTTATATTAATTCGAATAATTCCGCGATAATAAAAGAAGCCAGAAATACGCTTTTGACATTTTCTGCAATGCCAACATATCAAACAAAAAATAATTGAAAATAATTGTAATTATTAGTTTAAATAACTTGGTTTTATGAATAGTGTTTAGTTTTCATTTATTCAAAATTTGTTATTCCTACAGTAAGGGATTATGAATTTGATTAGATGTACATTAAAATAAATAAATCGATAGGTCGGTACTGTAAACATTACGTAAATTCCTAAAAAAAAAAGTATTTCAGGGAGTAACGGATAAATGACGTAAATTGACAAAATAAATTAAGAAGAACCGTTTTTAGAAATTTTATCTTTTTTTTTGTTAATCTTTCCCGTAAATATTATTGACCTAATTGGGATGGCGTTTTTATTAGAAATAGAAACGACTCAGCTGATACAAGATTTTCTTTTTTTTTTCATCACAATCGCGATAACACGAAATTCTAAATTACAATGACAGGCGAGTCTCTTTATATATATTTGATTATCGCAGTCTCTTACTCAAGGACGTAGATACAGATAATGTTTTTATATTATATTCGATACTACAATCTCCTACTCGGACATAATACAGGTGGCCCCAGAGCTTTTATATGTACATATATTTAAATTTATCAGTCTCCTACTTGGACATAGATACAGATGAGCCAGGGTTTTTATATACATATTTGATAATCACAGTCTCCTACTCAAACATGCAAACCCACCCTTATATTAGTAACTTGGCTCGAAATAACGTAAAGCATAAAACCATAAGCCTTCAACTTCATGTTATTTAAGACACTGCTTAATGCAAAAGTATGCGACGTTTTTACTTCATCATCGTAAGGTCGACAGTCTGGTTGTACACGTACCTCCACTCTTTCCTATCCTGAGCTAATCCTGTGTTGTCCTATTCATACTAAAACTTCTTCATTTCTACCTTCTCTATCCACGGTATCCTCATCATTCGCCTATAACACCACATTTCGATTGTTTCTAACCTTTTTTTTGCACCCACGGTCTTTGTTTCGCACCCGTACAGCGCCGTTCTCCAAACATACACTTTTAACCTTTTTCGAATTTCTAAATCGTTCGTGACCATAGAAGTGATTTCTTTTTATTGAAGGCGACTCGACTCTGTACTATCTTCTGCTTTATATCCCTACTACTCCTTCCGTCCTGACTTTTCAGACTTCCTAGATACCTCAAATAGGCCACTTCTTCTAATTTTTCGCCTCCTATCTTTATATTCGCTCTTTCCCTACTTTCCCTTCCCTTGCATACCAGTATTATTGTTTTACTTTTATTTATTTTCATACAGTAGTATTTTGTCAATACCGCTTCCATTTTATTTAAAGCTATCTCTAACTCCTCCTCCTGTATATATGGACACCCTAAAAAGGAGGATAACCAGCAAGGCTAACATTGTCTCTAGTCAACAAGAAGCCGGAGGCTAACAAAATTGAAACACTAGGCTTTAGGTGTGTTTATATGTATGTACCTATCTGTGCATATAAAAAGTCTTACTTTAAAAAAAGATTATTATCCACAGAAACAATAGTTATTTTTGCAACGGTATAATGCTATTGTCAATAGATAAACAAATAACATTGTTGTTGCCAACTCTTTCAAAGAAACGCTAACAATTTTTTACACTTCTATAATACTAATCGCAAGTATTAAATACGTAATTCACTTTTTTCGAACGGCAGACATAAAAGGCTAAATATCTATATTAGTATTACAAATGACTTAATTTTCGTTTTTATTACTATTGTTGTACCGAATATTTTATTTTATCCAAGTCATTCTGCCGTTAACAATTGCCTATCAACTGCGGCTCATTACAGGTATGCACTTTATGCATTATATCCGCTGTATATTAAATAAAAATGTTTACTAATTTCGATAACAATTACGATTGAAATTACCTATTATCCACTTATTAATTGATACCCAACAACGTAATAATTGCAAATACACATTTACGTTTAATAAAAGATACGAGACAAAAAATGGAAATGATTTTCGGTATCTAAGAAGTCAGATAACTCAATATGAACGGAGCAGTAGAGATATAAACCAGAGGATAACGCACGGTAGAGTCATGTTTAACAAAATCGCTTCTATACTGCCGAAAGGCTAATTTAGAAATTCGAAAAAGACTGTTAAAGGTAGGTACATGCTTGGAGCTTGGGTCTGTACAGGTGCGAAACTTTGACGGTGGGCGCGGCGAAAAAGAAAACGTTAGAAGCGTTCGAAATTCGGCGTTACAGGTGAATGATGGATATAAAACGTTAGTAACGAGAATGTCTTAGAAAGAGTCGGACAGTCGAGGAAATCAATAACAAATAAGCGAGATAGGTTGGTATGACCTTTTCAAACATGTAGGGCTAGAAGAAGCATATTAGAAACAGAAACGGGAGCTAAGAGAAGAGGTAGATCTAGAATAGATTACTGTTCACAAATAGTTAGGGATGTGGGATGCTCTAGGGCCTCTCATAAATCAATGCTAATGTTGGGTACGCGGTTATCCGGCAACCGACAAAATCACCATCCGGTGCATCTTTAATAAAAACGTTTCTCTTTTCGTAAACAGTGTTTTACAGTACAAATTTAAAAATAAGAAATTTTGCAGGTTTATCTTATACTTTCAATATTAATAAGAAGAGTGGTAACCAAACTGTAACTTATAAAATATCAATTCTAATATAAATGTTCTACTTTTTATTAAATTATGCTATTTTAACGCAGTTATCTGTAATTTTTTAATTGCGAGCAGTTTTCTTTCAATCAATTGGATCAATAGAAAGCGATAAAGGGTGATAATACAAGCCAATTATTTTGAAAATGCGTTATTTCTATCGCTTGTGCGCGTACTAATCTTAGGATTAATTTAATCATTATTTCCTGAACTTACTATATAGGTGCTACAACTAATTCTGTATTTCGCGATTCTATTTAAAAAGTTGTGATCTCCTCATAGGATAGGTTTTGTCCTGAATACCGATTTTTCATATTTAGTATAAAATTATAAATTATAATATAATAGGTACGCAAGTTTATTGATAGCTGAAATTGCAATGATTCATTCATGAAAACATTAAAAATATATCGATAAATGTAAATAATATTATTTAGCTTCTAATAGTTACAACAATGTTTTTAATTGAAACTGTTTTAGAAATAAATTTAATGTTTTCGGCTGTATGTTAAGAAGTAGTAATGAAGTAGTTTTCTCCAGTTTATTTCGAATGTAACAAAATACAAATTAACTATAATTGCTAATTGTTTACGAATGAGAACTTACTTTGTTTACGAAAATTTCCGCTGTTTCAAATATCTTCTAATTGGTAGTTCAATGCTATTTTTAATTAATGGAATTCTTTTTGTACCTATTTGTAGTAAGTACGGTAGGTATACACATAATAGCTTTTAATTGGCACTATTTTTTGTAATAGGGAACTCAATGATTTAATAACATAAAAATTTTATAAGTACTTGTTTACATTCGGCTACAGATTACATTCGAGGTGTCTCGTGATTATTACGCGATAAACTGTTTTTGAGACTGCGATTTCTTTTTAGTTGAGATAATCCTTACCTTTCAAATTTAATATGTTGGGCGGTCGCGTTATCCTCCCAATAATTATGAGACATATCCATCATTGCACTATTTTTATTAAATTGTCTTTTAAACACCACTAATACAGTTTAATTTAAACCTATTAAAGTATGGGACCTTTTAGGTCACGAAACCGAATCGTTTTATTATTTGGTAAAAGGAGAGAACAACCAGCAACAACGTAGCTCGTCTGAAAATAAATCCGCCAATGTACGTAATATGTATCTTATTACTGTAGCTGTGTGCATACATAAATTTTCAAACTGCGGATCTGACAACGATAAGTCGGAAGAAACTAGTGCCGTTCTCGATCGCCAACCACTTCTTATTAAGGTGGGGTGGTTGATTTTCCGGATACGCATATACGACAACACGTTCCGACAAAACTTCTTGAAATCCTCCTGCCTTGTTTGTCACCAATTCACTGATGATTAGCGCTCACACGCTAGGGTACACGTGAGGTGCTCGTTTAATTATCAAACGTACCCCAGTCGCCCGTCTCTTTCTACATCACGGTTACGTGACACCGCTCACACACCTGTACGTATTCGATTTTTTATTACTCGAGGTTAACGCACCTTACACATTGTGCGAAAATCAAGAGCATCGCGTTTCCGTTGCTCCGATTTTGCAAAGAAAATCGGATAAGTTGGCCGTGTTTTCGCGCAGACAAGAAACGGTCGCAATTCGCTACGTCCGTCTTTACTCGATTCTTCGCATCGGCACATGATCATCAAGTGGGCTATCACGTTCAGAGTAACGTGGAATACCACGTGACTTGAGGCACAGCGCGTTTACTAATAACCGACCGTTGTCGGCGACGCTAACGACGCCGCGCGCCGCCGCCGTTGACAGTGAAAAAGTGGGATATTTGAGTAAATGTGCGAATTGCCGAGCGAGCGGCCGTCTCTTGTTTCAATTTTTTTTTTGTTTGTTGTAATCATTATTAGAATTCATTGTTACGTCGGCTATACATAGTCCGAGCTGAAGGAAACGAAAACAACGGTCTATGAAAATGAGATGCGGCATATTACGTGCTCAATCGATCTCAATCCGTTTGCCTTTAATAGATATTCATAATGCAAATGTGTACAATACCCAATGGCCTATATTTGAACATACGATAGCAGACAAAACTACCGATTGATAACGTGCACTCACGTTGCTTAACCGTAGAAAAAGTGCACAACAATGTCACGGACGCATCAACAACTGTTTGTACGTAATAGGGAAATCAAAATCGTTTTTTGTAAAAAAAAACACGAGGATATTAGGATGTTTACGGTGTGCCTTTCATTAATTACCACTTACTCGACCCAGTGGGTATTTCCCTCGTGTTTAAGTGCGTGACCAATTGTTTTTTCAGAATTAGTTAAAAAAAATAGCCAAACTAAACTTCATTTATACATACGTATGTGTAGGCAATTGACTTATAGGTACAAAGTTCTGTATAAATTTTTAAATTATTGCTCATCAATCTAAATTTGACATGGTTTTTAACCGTTTCAAATTTCCAATTGTTTTAATAACCAACGAAAATTGTTTGATTTTATATACGTATTATCCCTATAAATAAAGAAGCCTCTCCTGTTTGACTCATACGATCAATGCACAACAAAAACTATTCAATCAATTTGACAGCTTTTACCGGTCAGTGATGTGTCCTTCGATAGGTATAAGACCATAAGGATTTATGTTGCAATCACCGGTATCAAGATCAAAAACTCGCAGCGAATCCCAATTTTTTTACGAAACCCTTTCTGACTCGCCGTTTTTTGGCGGAATCCTAGGTATCTCGATAAAAAAGTAAACTGATAACAGTTTTATGTCTAAAATAATTCGAAGTGGTCAGTATACTGTCGAAACTGCCAGACGCGGATCGCGATTTCGATCTTTTTGGATCTCATCAGCGCACCGCAGACAGCTCCGACAGAACACAGACCAACTTTTACCTGCTGTCTTAACAGTGCGTTTTAGAAAATACTTCCAAATGGCGCGGTAAACGCCATTTGTAGTGTGATGCTACATTTTAGGATTACGTATGCTCCAACAAGGTCCACTTGTGTCGATATCTACTTGCTAAAAACGAATCCCGGCGTATCCAACCTCAACGTGATAAGCACGTTAGCTTAATCGAATAAAATAATTCCAAGTGGTCAGTATTATGTCTAATTATAAGACCCCTACACACTAAGTACATGCTCAATTCAAAAACTTTATTGTACGTATGTATTTAAACTGCTCATTTTTAGTAATAATAGCATTAAAATTAGGTGTAGGTAATGTTCGCCAATTGAATTCGAATATCCAGAAAGGCATCTAGTTGCAAACTCTGAATTTGTTTTTATTGTAGACGTAAACTGAAAAGCTCGTCTGTAATCTGTAAGTCGATGCAAATCGAAACAGGAACAGAGTGGTAACCTTCTCAATGACTACAAAGTATTCATCTTTAATCGTAGGTTCCATTGAAGGGTCTTTCGAATTTGAATCATTCGATTCCAATTTTTGTTTTAGAGGGAATGAATTCTTAATACTCATTTAGACGACGATAAACATTCGCAACTTTTTTGTTCAGCAGTTTTTTTAAGGAGACAAGGCAAGGACCAGCCAACATTTTTTTTTGTATCGCCTGTAACTGGTGTCTCAATTTTTATGGTTTTTTTCTGCAGAATAGTTTATAAAATTAATGAATATCTACAGCCAAATGATCCTTTAGTATGTTGGACCACTTTAGTGTGTTTGACCTTAATTTGTTAAGAGTTTTTGGAGGACCTAATAACGAAGAAATAAAACCAGTTAACGACGAAATAACAATAACATATATTTATAAACTTAACAAAAGCATGCGTAGATATTAGCGAAGAGACTTAATTGGTTAAAGCTTGAGAAGAACTGCCGGGTTTATAAAAATCGAGGTGTTTTGAAAATTGTAAAGGCGGAGAAAAGGCAGTAGATATTACAAGTGGGGTATCAACAGAGCGGTATTTTAATGTTTGGAAAATACTAGAGATAAGAAATCCTAAGAAGTTGACAATTAAGAAGGAATAGGGAATATAAACGTCGTGCAGTTAGTAGTTAGTAAGCTTTTTGTTTTCGTGGAAGAGGAAGAGGAGTCAATAGACACCCGGCCGTTCGTTACTGCGTAGTAGAATACCTCGAACCTACCGACTAAAACCCTTTACCTCAGGCCGTTCTAGGACCAACCAAAGTCCTCTTTAGTCGAGTTAGTAAGCAAAACTGAAATGCTAATAGGCACTAGGAAAGTACAGTAATAAAGTTATTTACACACATAGGCAGAATACAAAATAATTAGAGTAGAACATCCAAAATATTTATAGGAAGAGATACAAAAATAATATAGTTACTACAAAACAAATACAATACGAAGGAATGGTAAAGGTCTAGATGATGGGGATGGGGGGGATCGAAGGAGTTCTCCCCCACCACTGCACCATAAAAAGTTCGTGGCGGTCTCAGCCCCATAAAAAGTTATAGAGGTTCAAAGTTAATAAATATGCAAATTTTTAATATTCAAAGGTAAAACTAATGGAAAAATACATAAAAATATTGAGAAAGTTATATAAAACATTATTTAAATATCTTTATCAATAGGGTAGGTTAGGTTATCGGATTTTGTTCAAGTTACCACCCTCTTTCGATCCCCCACCTCCACCCGCTTGAAAATATTTTTTTGTATTGAATTTTATTTGAATTATAGTGTATGAAAATTGTCAAAATAATCAACTTTCAACCCCAATAACTTTTTATGGGGGGGTGAGACCGCCACTAACTTTTTATGGTGGTGGTGGGGGAGACGTCCTCTTTCGATTCCATCAACCCCCAATCCCGAAGGGGGTGGGGGCCATCACATTTACGGAAGGAATTTTGATTACTTCAATTATTAAAAAAAGGAAAAGAATTATTTGAAACGATATTTACCTAAACTTGAATAAAAGAATGTTTATATGATATTTGAACGAATTCGAAAAGTTAACAAAAGAATGTTTGAAATCATCTTCATAAGATCGTCAGTCCTCACGCTGATTGGACACGTGGAGGTGCGTGTCCTTTCCTATCCTGAGCTAATCTTCGCATTTCCCTAAAACTAGAATAACCCACATTCTTAACTATTTGCGAACAGTAATCTATTCTAGGTCTACCTCTACCCCTCCCAACTCCCGTTTCCGTCTCTAATATATCTCTGACTAGCCCTGTCCTACCAACCTATCTCGCCTATTTCTTATTAACTTCCATAGAATCCTCTGTTCTCCTATTCTTTCTAATATCTTTTCATTTCTAACCTTTATTCACGGTATCCTCATTATTCGCCTGTAATATGACATTTCGAACGCGTTTTCGATTTTCTAAATTAACCGTTCGCGAGCATAGAAATTACTTCTTTTTATTGAAGGCGACTCAACCCTGCGCTATCCTCTGCTTTATATCCCTGCTACTCCTTCCGTCCTGACCTATCTGACTTCCTAGATACCTAAAATCAGCCACTTCTCATCTTTCGTATCCTATTCCTCTATTCGCTCTTTCTCTACTTTTTCTTCCCTTGCATACCAATATTTTTGTTTTACTTTTGGTTACTTTCGTACAATACTGTTTTATCAATACCGCTTCCATTTTATTTAAAACTATCTCTCACTCCTCCCTACTGTATCATCTGCAATTTGAAATAGAAACACAAAAAAATATATACATGAACATAAACACAACGAATACTATCTACTGTTTATGAAATTTAATTGTGGCGTTTAAATAACCAGTATTTGGTGGAAGTATGTGGCGTTATCCGCCACAATACCAACATCATATTTTGATGATGCGAACACAGTTGTTTAGACTACTAAATAACTGCTTCACTCTCATTATACAAGTAAACTTGGGTCTGTTTCCAAGTAAATTAGTTTTATGCCAATTTTAATTTATTAACGTATATATTTTTTTAATAACATCTCTGATAAGTGGATTATTCGAGACCATTATTATGAAAACATTTAGTTTTCAATTTATACAACATTTCATTATTTGTCGTAAAACGGTTGTTATTATATTTTTACATATCGTTGAACGAGCGTGTAAAGAACGTTTTCAAACATATAAATTTAATTGCCCGTTATGTTATTAAACATTACTGTCAAAAGGCAATATTTTTAAAATCATGGTAATGTTCTGGAAGACCTCCAATTACGATGTTTTCTTTTTTATAAATTAGTTATATAATTGTTTACGATAAAACGTTAAAATGTTTGATTATTTTGCAATATCAGTATGCTTGTTTATAAAATACGAAGTGTCATTTACTGATAACAAGCATAAATTACGTTAGTAGAAAATGTCAAGACGTTTCTGATACATCTATACGTATCATCTTCAAGAAAATTTTGCAAACCGTTGCATTTTCTATTGGACTATAACTCTACGGTAGCAGCTAGCGGAAACAGCTTATTGGTGAGTAGGTATGGAAAATGGGACTGACGGAAAGAAAGAAAGCAAAGCCAGTATAATTGTAACACTCTCACTCGCATTTTGCACGCGGTTGGTTGCTCCGAATCTGTAGAAAACTATAAAGGTGCTGATTTACAATTCAGCAACTTTTGTGATGAAAATATCATAAAATGAATGATTGACTAAATGATCAATAGTCGGACCATTTTTGTCAAAGACAGGGAAGGTGACACTTGGGTTGCTTAAAATATCAACTCGGTTTAAGATTTTTGATTTCCATTTTTATAGAAAACAGAGAAGTAATGGATATATGCCCTTTGGTTACACGTGTGTCGGAAACACTGAACATTGATACTGTTATGCTGATGATTAGTCGGACACGCACCTCCACTCCTTATCGTAGTCAATACTTCGCTTTTCCCGAAAACAAGAACATCCCTAACCTCTATTTTCAGTCAGTAATCTAATTTAGACCTTTCTCTGTCTCTCTTTAGTCATATTTTTATTTTTAATATATCTCAAACCATCTCTTCATGTCTCCGTATCCTATCTATCTTTTTCTATTGACAACCTTGTATTCACGTACATTTTCATTTCTAACGTTTTCTTTTCACGATATTTTCTTTCTACTTCATAGCCACATCTCAAACGCATCTAACATTTTCAGCGTACAACGCCGTGCTTCAAACATCCACTTTCAACAATCGAATTTCCAAATTAACCGTTCGCAAGCATAGAAGTGATTTCCTTTTTTTTTTAAGCGAGTCGACCCTGAGCTGTTCCTTGTTTTATAGTCTCTACCACTTTTTCCAATTGACTTATCTGACTTCCTAAAAATCGAAAATCGACGACTTCTATTTTGTTTTCATTCCATGCCCTTCTTTCAATGCCGCTTCATTTTATTTATATTAAAACAGTCTAAAGGTTTCTCTACAGTCTACACATTAACGAGATAAGCACGGAACGTGTGCGAGACGAGCTCGTACGAGATACGTAATGTACGCACGACTCCTGAGGCATTTTGCTCTAGAAGAATTCGAAATACACAAAATTTTTTTGTAATACACGAAATGAATATACGAAGTCTGTTCAAACAGTAACGCGAATTTTGAATTCGATTTGTTCGATTTATTATGGAATTTTGTAAACGCATTGTCAGAGGTTCAGAAAAGAACCTAGTGTACCTTTTATCCAAACAAAAGATATTTTTCCGAAGGGATAGAAAAAATTAGTTTTATATGATCGTCGATGATCTTTGACATTGACACGTATTTACATCAACGCGAGCAAAACCTGCGGGTAAAATCTAGTAGGTTTATAATAAAACCACGTAAGAGTAGTTTGAGAGTACCGTTAAAGCTCCGCTACTGAATCCCGCAGTCTCATGAAGGCTATATGATACGATAGCCCTCCATCCCCCACTCTTGGAAAAGGTTCAGTTTTCAGCCGCAGCGGTTGGTTTCAAAAATATAAGGGTTAAAAGACTCCACATAGACTCAGTAAAGGCGTCCGATGCCTGGCCAGAATGTCACAATTTTTTCCTGAATATCCTGCATTTACTAGAAGGTTTCAGAACGTTGATGACTAAATTCGGCTCAAATATAATAAAAATAAGTGTAGTTTATCCGTATGTGCATCAAAAGCTCCATAACCAAAGCTCGCAGCCACATGAGAGTTGTATTGTATGATAGTGTTCCATCTATTGTCCATGAAGATGGTTTAGGTTTTCAGCTGCAGCGATTGGTTTCGAACATACGAGGGTTAAATTAACATATTTACTGACTCTCTGTAAGAAACTTCATATCTTTGAAACCAACCCCTGCAGCTGAAAATCAAAACCTGTGTCGTGGACGGGGTCTACAAAAATGTAATACTTTCTGATGATATTTATGGACACTATCCACATGTGTCAGAGGCCTTAGAGGAACAGACGGATAGAAATATGATAGCTGTAGAGATTTTAGCTTGAAGGCCGAGTAAAGAGGAGAATTAATACTTTTTAAACTGTTTTTGCCATTGGAATTGATAATTCTAAAAAAACATACGTTTAATTAATTGATTAAGGTTGTCTGATGGACTTACGTCAGCTTTTAATAACCTAAAAAAAAACTTTGAGACAAAAACTGATTTCTAAAAACTCCCAATGTAAATAAAACGTGAAGTAATGAGATAGCTTTTGACCTACCAAAGACCAGTTTTTGTGACCTTAAGTGTGAAACATTGCATTATCTATGATAACCTACATATACGCAAAAACTGATATAGTAATTTAGGTTTTTGGATAACTCGTGAAATGCAAAAGTTTTGTTTACTGTTGAAACAAAGATATTAACAAAAAGTCACGTTTTTGTTTAAAGCAATATGTTATTGCATATAAGAAAATTTAAAATAAAAACATTGGTAAATGCTCGATTAATATACGCATCTCCGTTTTTTTTTGAAATTTTAGATTGTACAAAACTAATCTATTTAGAACGCTTTTTAGGACAATGCATTGGTTGAAAGATATAGGAAAAGACAACACTAACGAAATCGTTGTTATTTACAGCAATGTGATCAAGTAGTAAATATATACATGTAATTATGCGTAAAAAATAATCAAAAAATGCAGTATAATAAACATGTACATGCATGTTTTTTAATGATTGACTTAACTCACAGGATTCACTTTAATTGTAACTTTTATTTGTACAAAGAAAATACGGTAGGTATATAGATGTGCAATTGACTTAAATAAACCGACAAAAAACTAACAAGCATTATCTTTAGACAATTATAGTAAATTAAAATTATTCATCGTAATGTACTGTCGTAGGTCTGTTAAAATATATTTATGAACAGAAAAGTTTGTTGTACTTCACATGAAAATGGAGCAAATTTAAAATACGGTTTGAGATCAAATGAATTTCAATGCTTTCTGTTGGTTCGTGATCATTTAAAATGCCGTTTGTGTGAACTAATTTTTTTGACGTGACAATTCTATGGAGCCGGCTGCTCGCACGAAAAAACATGACTCATGCGGCGTTACCTCGCTCTGAGGCGTTCCATTTAAGGCTTGAAGTGCAATCGAGAGCGCGGAATGAGTGACAAAGAGCCACAATCGGCCTCCGCGTTCGGTAGCGTTCGACATCTGTCTCTCTCCTACTTGAGTGAGCGATGCGTCCGCGTGGACAGCTGCTATACAATAATACATTTCCATTTACCTCCTTCTCTATATCCATACAAAATAACTATCAAACAAATAAAATTAAAATTTTCTTTTGAAAAATGAAACCATTCCATCAGTATTTTCTAATAACGTTGTCATGTTCAACTATCGTCAGTAAACCGACTTTACAGACAACCGATTTTTAATCCAGAATTTTTAATAAATACGAAACTGAATTTTTCTTAATTTTTGAATTCTCAATTTCCTTCTTAGCCACAAGGAAAACGTTAAAATTGCTCTCTATACACATCAATTCGTTTTTTATATTATAACTAGTTAAAATATTTTTACATTTAGCAATTAACGCTCTATCGGTAGAATCAAATTCACTTATTACGGTTTTTATTTTTTCGAAATTCTTAACATAAAAAGACACACAGTTTAACCAAATTCCCCATCTTGTTATGACAATTTCTAAGAGGTAAAAATATACCTGGAAGTTTTTCTTTGTAAAATTATACTCTAAGGAGAGTTTTAAAAAACATTTTTTTTGCATTCGCAATCAATTTATTTACATCTGGTTATTCAGATCTGGCAATTTCTGCAACCCTATTTAAAACATGTGCAAATGTTTGTTTCAGGTAAGAAACGGGAATGTAAGTATGTTTTTCATTAAAAAGCAGTGGTTAATAAACTTTTAAACATTATATGATAGATAATTTGTAAATAATAAGTGGAATTTTACCAAAATATGCATTTATTTTAAATGCATAAATATTATTGGAAAGTCTAAAATATATTCTTTCTTATATGTTATTTTGGATATAATCCTTATTTTTGGTTGTCTTGGTTGGCTGTGGGTTGGGTTTGGTTGTTTTACTTACTTTTTTTCAAGTTTTCCATTCATAGTACAATTAAATGTGATTTGTTTGCGTGTGTCCCACATAAAATAACTCCCCTTCGGTGCTACTTCTACTGTTACGACTTCGCCTTCCTAAATTGACTTGCCCGTAAAGATATATAAACGACCGAGTAGTTCATAACACTTGTTTATTTCTGCCATTATGTACATATTTCCCGATTCTGGCTGTTTGTTAGTCATTTGCTATTTTGCATTGCATATACCATATTGCGATAGGTCATAATAAAAGTCATTTAAAAATGTGCATAAATATTTGCTGAATGCTAAAGGAAGAAGGAAGTTAAAAGAAACGTTATGGGATTAATTATGAAAATGAAGGCAAACTAAAATCGACAGGCTGACTGTAATTTATTGAAAACGTTATGAAAACATTCAAATTTAGGTGAACTGTTTCAAGGAGGCACTATAAATCTATAATGAAGCGTGTTTACCAGTAGCGGCTCGTGTATTCAAAAGTAGGTGAAGAGTTGTAAACAAGTGAGAAGAAAGTATTCCCTTGAATATTTCATAGAATGTGGAAACGGCAAATTAGACGACGTATACTAATAAATATCTCCAAAGCTTCGAGCTTACACCGTAGAGTATGTAGGTGCAGAGGATCGGTCGACCTGCCATAATATCTTCCCCATTCGGACAGAGATAGGCAGCACTGGACCTGAAATTTGCCGCGGACGCCGTCGTTGTCATGGAACCTCGCTCGCGCTAGCAGAGTTGCGACGATCATGCGCTTAGCTCTTCACATGGAATTTTTGCGTACATATAAGTTTAGGTACTTTTTACCAGGCGTTTCTTCACTTTTTCTTCACTTACTTCTATTATAAAACCAAAAATAATTATAATAACCTAAAAAAAAACTTTGAGACAAAAACTGATTTCTAAAAACTCCCAATGTAAATAAAACGTGAAGTAATGAGATAGCTTTTGACCTACCAAAGACCAGTTTTTGTGACCTTAAGTGTGAAACATTGCATTATCTATGATAACCTACATATACNGGAATTTTTGCGTACATATAAGTTTAGGTACTTTTTACCAGGCGTTTCTTCACTTTTTCTTCACTTACTTCTATTATAAAACCAAAAATAATTATAACTGAAGTTATATTTATTTTATGAGAGAAATAAATCTAAATACAATCTAGAAAATAGGTGAATACTTCACCTAAATAGCCGCCACTGGTGTTTACATGATCTTCACTGTAAAATATTTGAAATGTGTGCTACCGCATTGTTTGCAACGGCCTTTTATACCTACAACTGACACATTTATGGTGTTGATATAATTGACTTTTTCTTAAGTTGCTACCTGTTTCTACATGCACTATAGTAATTTCATTATGATTAATGCAATTTGTCATATATAAATTGCTTTATATATATAAAAAAAATAAAATCCGTAAAAATATTAATAGGTAATAAGGTAATTTGCAAGTCACCGCATCAGGAAACAAAGTGTAATAAAAATGATTAAAACATGTTATAACATTTTAAAGTACAGGGTGTTCTATTATCTATTTACTGCTTGATAATGTTTATTTTAAGTTATTGTATTACTTTAAAGTGTTCACGTTTTCACTTTACTAAATCAGTAAACAATTGATGATATCAAATAACAATATTTAAAATTTTCTGATTTATTTATACGTAATAGTTGTTTCGCCAAACATTGATCCTATATTATAAGGTGAAACGTTGGCAGTCTTATTGAAAAATCAACTTTTATACCATTTTAGCTTCATGTTTCAAAAACAGAAACCCCTACGTTTAGAATTACTTATGTTAATTTATCACAATCAACGTCTTCAAAAATCTTAACTAGAATGACTGAAATGGGTTGTAAAGTATGGGCATGATATTACTAAAGGCAAGACAGCCTTAAGGTTACATACACAAGGACAACAGATTAGCATGCTTAAATTTGCGGATGATATAGCAATACTAGCATCTAGCAAGGAGGAGTTAGAATTAAAATCAAATGGAAGCGGTAAAAATAAAAGTATTGGTATATAATAGATATAAATATAAAGTTAGCACTAATTAAACAATTGGAGGCGATAAACTGGAAGAAGTCGCTGGTTTTCATATTTATAGAGTCAGATAACTCAAGATAGAAAAAACGCTAGAGATATCAAACAAAGGATAACGCAGGGTTGGGTTGCTAAATTACACTTTTATGTTTGAAATCGGTTACTTTGAAAATTGGAAAACGATTATTAAAGGTGTATACTTGGAGCACAGCACTGTATGTGTGTGTGTATGTGGATAGAAAAAGTCAGAAATGAGGATGAGTTATTACGAGGAAGAATAGAACAGAATGTGTTATAGCAATCACTACGAAATAGGCTAATAGAAGGCCTACTTAGAGACATATTAGAAACAGGAACAAGAGTTAAGAAGGGTAGAAGTAGGCCAACCTAAAGATGCAGGTTCCTCGAGTTTTCGACCAAGCGGCAGCCTAGAGGTTTAGTCCATTGCTTCATTAGCATTCGGGAGGATACCGATTCGATTCCGGGTCCGTCTACCTTGGTCCAAGTTTTTCTGTGGTTTCCTTGGATCACTTAGGTAAATTTTGGGACAGTAATATTCCACAGATAATCTTTCATTCTCTTCTGCCACCATTTCGTCCGTCTCATCTTTCTCACCCGAACCACCACCCATTCTTTCCCACGATTCCTGAAAGAAGGCTGAAGAGGGCCTTCCGCCCTACCTTCCGGTGTAATCCAAAGGGATTGTCCGTCCACCACCATTAGTAATTAGTAGGAATGAAACATCCAAAAGTGTTTTTTTTTCTAGTTTTCGAGGAAAAAGTGGAGTTGTGTATCTAACTAGTCATTCTCCTAAATACCTATGATGATGATGATGATGTGAGGTACGTTTTTATCTATGTATGGTACAGTACATAAAAAAAACTCCATTCCCTACACTAAACGGCCGGGTATTTGACAAATTAAATAAGTAGGTACCTTTTTCTGTACCGTCTCTCTTAACACACCCACAAGTCACTTCTGTAATACATTTTTTATAGTATATAATAGACTTTTGATGAACTTCTGCTTATTGCAAATGCGAAATAATGCAGCATATGCAAATATGAACGCCATTTAGTATTACTTGTGTGGAATTTACTGACCACGACTAACCTTTTGAAAGCTATTATTAAAAGGTTTGTTTTATTTGTAAAAGGGAATAATTTAGTAAGTAATAAATTTTTCAAAAGTATTGCCGTCAGTCATCCTTTTATGGAAATGTGCAATCATCGTATAGGTAATGCAGTTACGTAAATTAAGTGGATGTGTAATAAGCACATAAACGGTTGCCAAAGATAATTTATATTTACGGCAGACATTTATTTGCAAAAAACATATTATTGATTACAATTACGAGATTTGAAAAATTGATTGTCTAACTATATAAAATGTTACCACATGTATATAGAACCTAAATAGCATAAGATACAGTTTCATAATTCCCGTAAACTGTCGTTTGGTAATAAAATTATCTGGGTACGCGTATTTTTCCCAGTATGGAATTTATAATTTTTTTTGGAAGAGAATTTCTTTTTATTCCCTAATTTTTTTTACAAATATTTCCTTACCTATATTCCCTGGAGATTCTTATGGCGAAAAAACGATGTTTAAACAAAAAAATTTCATTTAGCGCAAAAATGAAGACTTTTTCACTTATTTACAAGTATTTAAATAAATTTTTAATGTAACCGTTAAACAAGAAAAATTCATTTGACACAAAAATTAAATTATATTATAAACAAACCGGATTACCCTTACTCAGAAAAAATTAGTTATCTTTCAGGAACTTTCTCGAACCTTCTAGAAAAACATTCTCGAACTCTGTACGTGTAAAGCATTCTGGAAAAATTTGTGACATTCTATAACATTTTGACCAGACGTCAGAACTCAATTAACACTTTTACTGACTCTCTAGATGGAGTCCTTTGAGGCGATAGTCTTTTAACTCCCACATCCGCAGCGAAACCTTCTTCATGAACGGGAGATGGAAGACTATTATCATACCGTATACAGACTTCTAGATTCGGTTGTGGAGCTTTGGCGGCACTTATAGACAAACTACACTTACATTTGATATACATATATTGATTAAATAAAAATCCCCTATTCCCTAAGTTAGTTCTAAATTCCGTGGCTCAGTACGCTTAAATTATACAAATTAGCTTTTAGATACCTACAGTAGATACTAGTTACCGTTATAGTTGATTGGTATGATTGTTTATAACGAGCTTTGGCATCTATAAAGATAAGTAATTGTTCGTTACATCCGAATATCATAATAGAATGCGTTTTAATTTTCCATTAAATGTGTAACTCGTTCATGGTTTTTATTATTTATGATCACTCTGTATAAACGCATACGAAATGAAACAAATTTACATTTACGCGAATTACTACAACAAACACTTACGTATGTAAGTACATGCGTTGGAAAGTCTTTAGGTGTAACATGGAAAAATGTTTTGTTTGCTCTAACTTTACCGTAAATAAAATGCGGTTCAAGGCGATTCATACGAGCGTGTTTGAAATAACTTAAACTAACTTTCCTCCTTGCAATTATCATGATTTTCTTTTGGAACGTAATTTTCGCATAATGTTCACACAAACTTTAATCACATAATTGGGGGATGCTTTTCGTAGAAATAATAACGAAATAGTGAATAATAAGTATCTACAAGAAGAAATTCTGGCCTGGACATATTGGTTGCTTCGCAAAACAGTTAATTTCAGATAAATAAATATCGCTCACGTACTTTTTACAAATCGATCAACAAAATAAGGATCATGGAAATTATTTTTTGGTTGAAAGTATATTCAGATTCAGAGGAATGTTATCAACTGAAAAATACATTTCAAGATGCTTCTTCTTGATAACACAAAGGTCTTAAATAGGTATAGATAATTGAATTTTGCGTGTGTGAATACAGAATTAATTGGTCAGAGAATCGTATCCACAGGACAATAGTGTACTGTTCGTGAGTTTAACAAAATTTAACTTCTAAGACAAAAACTATTTATTTACACTAATTATTATTGAACTTAAAAACACTATTAAATTATTACTAAACTTAGGTAATTATTCTATTTATTTACACTACTGTTGATATATCACTAATCACTGCGCTATTTATTTCACTTCTATTACTGTCACTATCTGGATTCACTTCTGGAACGGTCAATTAATTTATCCTCTCCCGGCGATCGTCACTTCCTTTAAATACTCTTTTGTGTCCTTTCTGGAACCTTCTCGAAACATCCGGAAAAGTGCCTTTTAATTGCTTTCCCAGAACGCAGGTACGACACACACAATTATAAATACGGCGCACATGAAGAAAGGCGCCCGCGGCTAGTCGGCGAATCCATAAGCCGCTCACACACGTATTATGCCCGATCGCACACAAACACGCTCGTGCTCGCTACAATAGTGAAGAAAATAATTTCTGAAAAGGAAACTATAAATTCGACCAAACTCATGCGCGTTGTTAAACATAATTAGTACGAATTTAAAGTTATGTGTAGTCATAGGCATTGACTCCATCTTGGGAGAAAAACTCAAGCATCGGTGATCATTAAACTGTTAAGGGAAATGTGCTCAGCTAGAGGACGGAGATTTTTTCTGCAATATAATTTTTATTCTTGTCAACAGTGGAGATTTATCAACAGATGAAACATCGACTCAACATAAAATTTTTGGAGAAGCATGGGAATAACTCTCAGGAAATTGATGGAATGTTGAGCGCTGCTTATGGAAGGACGGAATACTGTAGATTGTTCAAGGTCAGGATGACCCTTCATGAAAACATATTGAACGTGCTCGTTTTTTTGCACTCTCCAATCGCCTAATTTCTTTTTGATAAATAAACAGCAAATTGTAGCTTATAACAAGTGGCGTAGCTAGCTAACCAAGGGCCCTGGGGCAAATCAAAAAATGGGACCCCACTGCTATCTAAACTGGTTGGCTTTTATCTCGTAAAAATATTAAATATACAAATACTTTAAAAATGCTAAGCTACTTTATCATCAGCTCTTTTTCGTGCACTGCAGGGCAGGTAATAAAAATGTTAAACAGTAACAACATAAATTACAATTAATACTTGGTGTAGGTACTGGGCAATGAAATAATGAATGAAATGAAATAGAAAACATTCAAGGGTTTATTATATAAAGGTCGGACCTACCAACA